GAGGGCTCTGTAGATATTTTCACAGCCCTCTTTTTGGCTCATGCAGTATACAGGTCCTCAATGGAAGGCAGGCTGGTAGCAATTGTTTTTTCTGCAGTTCTAACTATACGTTGAAGTCTGTGTCTGTCTTGTTTGACACCCCTGCTCTATTGCATGTGAACATCCAGCTAAAAACACTCCCAACACAAACCACATTCTGCGTTATGTACTGAAAGGTTACAGACAACCAACAGCAAGTAAAGGATCGGTTAATCCTCAGCTGTAAAACGGTTTCTTTGGAAACACCAATGTGTGGAAATGAGGGCTTCTTCATTCAAAATACTCCAAGCCAAGGGCGCCTCTCCTTTTCCTTCCTTGCTCTTGCAACAGTATGAGTATGTATGTACAGAGCCCCAATCCCAGAGTCCCATCGGCTGTTAACTTTCATTTCAGTCTTTAGATACGTCAAAGAGTTGGCCCCACTTGTGTTGGCGATGGACAAGTGCCAGCTCTCACAGCCACTAAGGGAGCCTTTCCTAATCTGCGGCACTCCAGGTGAGTTGGGCTACACCGAGATTGCCTGTAGGGACGAGAGAAGCCCAACGCATTGGAAGAGCCTGGGGGAAAACTGCTCAAATATGAACAGAACAGGAATCTGTTCCATATTACAGGGGTCCCCAACCTGTGGGCCATGGCCCACTACTGGGCCGTGGTCTAACTGCCACCAGGGAGCGCGAGTGGCCGGCCGGTCCGCGGGCCTATGGGCACGCACACGGCCCCACTCGCGTAAGCAACGCTGCAAGCATCGGGCGTTCGCGGCCCCACTCGCGTGAGCCTTGTTACAGGTGTTTGAGGCCCCAGTCACGCGTTGCTGCGACCATTGCGGGTGCTCATGTGCACACACAAGCCCCTGCCCTTCCCACAAAATCATCTCCTCTTTCCCCCCTCCCCCACTTCGGGCCGCCAACCCGGAAAAGTTGGGGAACTCTGCTATATTAGACCAATAATGGCAAAACCTTTGGGCTCCACATGCCTAAAATTCAGAAAATGTCTGACTCTGCTGCCATGTCACCACACACACACACATCAAAAATCCTATTCTCTCTCTCCCCGCCTCTCATTTAGGCCTCTATGAAGAGGGACAATCAGTGGCTGTATTGAGGTTGGACCGGAGATAGAGACCTGGGCCTCAACTTCCACTCTAGCGTCATCTCTAACACTCAAAAAGACCGTTCTTGCACCGTTCCCCAAGGGCCTTGGGCAGGGGTAGGCAACCGTGGCTCTTTTATGACTCATGGACTTCAATTCCCAGAATTCCTGAGCCAGCATGGCTCAGCTTGGAAACCTCTCCCTTTCCCCTCAGCATGGCTGGCTCAGGAATTCTGGGAGTTGAAGTCCACGAGTCATAAAAGAGCCAAGGTTGCCTACCCCTGGCCTTGGGGAACAGCACATGGTCCAGCACTCCACAGGAACTGCCGCATGCCTTACCTCCAGGCATTGTTCCCTTTCCGTTGACAAGCCCCTTTTGACCTACCTGAGGCTACTCCGGGTTGCACAAGACCTTCGTCCTTGAAGCAGCTTTGGAGTATGCTCTTCTGCAGCCTCTGAAAACTGCATGAAAACGCACCATGTTCTTGTGTGATTTTTTTTGAGGCTCCGGAGGCTGCACGAGAGCATAACCCTCTCTTGAGTGAATTCCAGAGTGTCTAGTGGCCACATAAGAGCACACCCCATTCCCACATGGCCTCTGCAGCCTCCCAAAATCACGTGAGAATAGAGCATGCTTTTGAGAATAGATGTCATTGGGTGTTGTTGAACAGTTGTGTCACCCAAAATGTCATGGCAACGGTGCCATAGGTCCGCCATTACTGCACTTAACAATTGGCGCAGATCAGAGATAACAATGTATTGATTTTGAAAAGGGATAACCCTGAAGTTTTGACAGAAATTAAGCCAGTGCTGTCTTTAGAAGACCGTTGTCCTATATCCAGGCAAGCCAGAAGACAAAAGATAATGACTAATGCATTATTTACCTGACAATCGTTGTCAAGAGAGTTCAAATGAGAAAATGCAACCTTGGGAAATTCACTTGGTTACACAAGCATTTCATCTGAGAATGGTTAGCAGCCGTTATAAGAAAGATAGTGATCTGTTGTCACTTTTGTTTTGTTTTATCTTGGGGTGATAAGAGAACTTACATCCATTTAACATTCCTGTAACTCCCTCAGAACTGCTAACAACTGATTCACACAAATGGAATTTTTTAAGAGCACAGAATGAACATATTGTCTTTTGCCCCATTAATCTGGTTTTATCTTGATTTTTAGTTTGAATTTTGGTCTAAAATCACACTAAAGCAGGGGTCCTCAACCCCTGCTCCGTGGACCGGGACCAGGCCGTGGCATGCCAGAAACCAGGGCATGCAAACAAACAAAGCTCTGTCTGCGGGATGCAATCAGCATTCGAAACCACACACCCTCCAGTCCACGGAAAAACCCCTCTCCACAGAGCCTGTTCCTGGTGCCCAAAAGATTGGGAGCTGCTACACTAAAGTATACATTCATTCATTTAGCCTCATGTGGCAATCAAATGATATCTCTCATCATTTGCGATGGAAATTTGAGAGATAAAGTCAGATTATATGGCAGTAGCCACCACAGAAAAATCTCTTTTCCATGAATTGAACCATGTTCACATCATATTAAATACAGTAACTACCATGGAAACCAATGTAAGTGAAATCTGCAGCAGGACTCTTACAAGGAAGGATGAACATTTCAGTCTGAATGCCAAATTATCATGCCCTGTTCCATTCCATTCCACCCCATCCCACTTCTCTTTCCTGCCCCACCTGGAGTAGCTAGTACAGGTAGTCCTCAACTTACAACAGTTCCTTTAGTGACCATTTGAACTTACACTGGCACTTAAGTGACTTGTTTTTCACACGACCATTGCAGCATCCCCATGGTCACATGATCAAAATTCAGTCACTTGACAACCAACTCATATTTATGACGGTTGCCATGTCCCGGGGTCACGTGATCACCTTTTGCGATCTTGACAAGCAAAGTCAATGGGAAAGCCAGAGTCACCTAACCGCCATATTACTAGCGTAACAACTATTACTTCACTTAACAACTCAGGCAAGAAAGGTCGTAAAATGGGACAAAGCTCACTAACAACTGTCTTGGTTAACCACAGAAACTTTGGGCCCAATTGTGGTCATAAATCAAGGACTACCTGTATTCCCTACCCAGAGCAGGCTCCCTTTTTACTGGGGTGTTTTGGGCGGTATGAATTATAAAAAAATCCTCCTCTCCAACACATTTTTTTTTTGCCTAAAGACGGCTCTACTTTTGCAAAGCCTGCTGTTTCCTTGGGCTTGGGGTTAATTTTGTTGAATGTGCAGATGATCCTGGCTGGATTACAAAAGGAGGTACATTTCTGAGAACGACTCTGCCATCTCCAACAGAGATTGGACAACCATTTGTCTGAAATGGGTACAGGGTTTCCTGCCTAAGCAGGGGGTTGGACTAGAACAGGGCTTTTCAACCAGTGATATGGGTACCACCTGTGGTACATTGGCACCTGGCAGGTGGTATGCGACCATCCTAGAAAAGTGATAGCAGGGGAGGGGAATGAGCTGAACCGGTGGCAGGACCGCACAAGCCTGAGCGAGAGATGGCTGGAGCTGCAGGGCTGTCAGGGCTCAGCGGAAGCGCCAGGATCAGTGCCAGGCTCCAGCTGGAGCTCTGTGCTGATCCTGGTGCTTCTGCTGAGCCCTGAAGAAGCACCAATCAGCTGGAAAGCAGCACTGATCCTGGCGCTTCTGCTGAGCCCAGAAGCGCCGATCAGCTGGAATGTTGCAGCATCTCCAGGGTCTTGTCATTTACATTCAGATGCTTGGCAACTGATTCATATTTATGACGGTCACAGTGTCCCAGGGTCATGTGAAGCGACCAAAACCTGCTGTAACCACCCAGCAGACGGGGAGAATAAAAACCAAACACCCCCCACCCCACCCCCGCTGCCAATCCTCAACAGAAATGCTCACAACAATGAAAACCTTGGACAGGAGGAAGAGCGCCACTGGGTGGGCAGGCAGGTGTCTTGCTCGGCTGTGGCTTGGGGGGCACTTTTTTCAGTGCCATTGTAACTTCGAATAGTCACTAAGCGAACTGTTGTAAGTCAAGGACTACCTGTACTTCATCACTTTTTTTTTTCTTTTTTGGGGGGGGTCATCAAGTTTTTGACACCTTGCTAGGCGACCGGTGGTACTCGGATATTGCCATATTCTAAAAGTGGTACAATGGGTGAAAAAGTTGAAAAGCCCTGGATTAGAAGATCTCCGAGGTCCCTTCCAACTCTGTGATTCTGTTCTGTTCTAGTGGCTAACCTACCCAAGTGATGGGCAACAGTTCACAATTCTGCATGCAGACCACAGCATCTCCCAGCCAGCAACTACTACAAGAGTTCAGAGCAAGCAGACCACAGATCCTCCTGTGTTCCTAATCACTGACCTTTCACCTCTCCACAGCCACAAAGGTGGGCCAGGAAATAAACATCACCTTTATTGGTACACCGCGGCAGCTCCGGAGCTGGGGAATGCACAGCGGGGAGGGCAGCTGGGTTGGGCTGGGCAAATCTATCGCCCGTCCCTTAGTCCAAAAGGGGAAGCTACTGACATTCATCCTCCCCAAGCAAAGCAAACAAGTTCTGGGTCAGTAACTTTCCCTTCCTGGGAGGGGCCGGCTGGCTGGGCCCACTCTTGGGGGCCGAGAGGGGCTCCTCTTCCTCCTCGCCTTCTTCATCGGCATCCCGGTCTTTCTCTTCGTCCTCTTCCTCTCCCGAGCTGGAGATTTCGTCCTCCTCTTCTTCCTCCCCTTCGTTTTCCTCGGCAGAGCCGTCTTTCCCGTCTCGGCGGTGAGCCTCCTGCAAAGCTGCTATCTCAACCGTCTCGGGGTGATGCTCCCACATGGCTGCAGAGAGAACAAAATGGAGGCGTGAGAAACAAAGCGCCCATCGCCGGGGACAGTCTTAGGCCGTCTTCTGGCCTCGGCCACTATTTCTAGCAAAGCCTGATCACTTTTGTGAAGAGTTCAGAAGACTCTGCCATCTTCTGGACTCTTTGCAGAAAAGATTCTGTAAAAGAGACTTTTTCAGCTGCAGAAAAACACCGAGCCGTAGTTACAATATTTATGCTAATACTCGGCATAAATCACTGTGCATAATATGCTTCTAATATTCCTCGGCAGGTAGGAAGATGTCAAAACAACATCTTTTGCCAAGCATTTAATTGTTCATTATTTCGAAAGCTGATTCTAATTTTGGCTTTCATTGCACTTAGTTATACTCTTAGTTCCCTTTCGATTGCTGTGTGCCAACTTCAACGCTGGCACAGTCCAGACGTTGGAGTGCACATGAAATAATACAGGCAGTCCTCGACATGCAACAGTTCATTTAGTGACCGTTCAAAGTTGCGACATTATTGAAAAAAGGGACCTGCGACCATTTTTCACACTTACAACTGTTGCCGCATCCCTGCGGTCACGTGATCAAAATTCAGATGCTTGGCAACTGACTCATATTTATGACGGGTTGCAGTGTACCGGGGTGATGTGATCACCTTTTGCGACCTTTTGACAAGCAACGTCAATGGGGAAGTTAGATTCACTTCAGAACTGTGTTAGTAACGTAACAGCTGCAAGGATTCACTTAACAACTGTGGCAAAAAAGGTTGTAAAATGGGGTAAAATTCACTTTAACAACTGTCTCACTAAGCAACATACGTTTTGGGCTCAATTTTCGTCATAAGTGGAGGATTACCTTGCGTTTACCTTGTAAATGCAAATATAATAGCATAATACAAATAAAACAGGACAGGACAGGATGCCGGACTCTCAAAACATAAATTCCACTTTATGTTCGCTCTCAATATTCATTTCTGAGAGTTCGCTAGCATGGCTCAAATCGTGGCCACCCGCACATAAGGATCAACATTCAGAAAACATAGATGGAGGAATTCCATGAAGATCTCCTTCATGCTTGGCAGCTAAGCATCATGCTGCTCATATCTTTAATGGACATGAAATAGGACTCGGTACCAGTACAGGTAGTCCTCAACTTACAACTTTTCATGGTGAATATGTGTAGCTTGGGTGTAGGACCGACACCAAACATCACCAGTTCGATTGGGGCAACAATAAACTCATCGGCCAAGCTACCACCCGCCACGCTCGTGAGTCCATCGAAGCCTGGCGCTCCACAAGCAATGCCATCAACAGATGCATCGACCGACAAGCAGCCTACGAACCCCTCAGGATCCAAATCAATTACACAGCCAACCGGAGACAGCACCGACCCTCCACCAACTCACACAAGCCCCCCCCTGCCCACGGTTCACCTCCCAACGACCCTGACCTGATGTAACTGACCCATCACAAGCCTCTCACTGATGACTCACACCGGACCCATCACAAGACCCTCACTTGACACACCCTCCCCTGAAGTCCTTACAAACAGAAGAACACTTGACACTGACATCCCTTAAACTCCGCTGAAGATGTTTACCTAGCCCGGTAACGAGACGTTCGGAAACCAACCCACAAGCTCGGAGAACGGACCTTCACCTTTACAACCATTTTCGTTTCATGACTATTGAAATGTGACCACGGCACTGAAAAAAATATGGCTTATGACCATTTTTCAGAGTTACGACTATTGCAGCGACCCTGTGGTCACGTGATCCAAATTCAGGCGCTTGGCAACTGGCATGTATTTATGACGATTGCATTTTCCCAGGGTCACGTGATCACCTTTTGCAACCTTCCCCGCCGGCTTTCAACAAGCAAAGTCAATGCGGGAAGCCAGATTTGTTTAAGAGCCTCATGATTCACTTAACAACTGTGGCAAAAAAAAGGCAAAAAAAAAATGGAGCAAAATTCACTCAACAATTACCTTGCTTAGCAATGGTTATTCTGGGTTCAATTGTGGCTACTACCGGTATTGAGAAAAGCAAGTGGGAATTTATCCTTTCCAGCAATTATGTGTGATTCCAGGTCAGCTAGGTGTGAGTCCTTCATAACGCCTGCCTATTTCCCTTGACCACTTTTCTCCAGCCTGGAAACCTGCCAGACATGCTGGATTCATTGAGAATCACAGAAGTCCCACCTATCTGAAGAGCAGGCTAGAGATTGAATAGAATAGAGCTGGAAGAGACCTTGGAGGTCTTCTAGTCCAGCCCCCTGTTCAAGCAGGAGAACCTATACCAGGGGTAGGCAACCTTGGCTCTTTTATGACTCGTGAACTTCAACTCCCAGAATTCCTGAGCAAGCATGGCTCAGCTTGGAAACCTCTCCCTTTCCCCTCAGCATGGCTGGCTCAGGAATTCTGGGAGTTGAAGTCCACGAGTCATAAAAGAGCCAAGGTTGCCTGCCCCTGACCTATACCATCTCAAATAAGTGACTGTCCACTCTCTTCTGAAAAACCTCCAGTGATGGAGTGCCCACAATTTCTGAAGGCGAGCTGTTCCACTGCCCAAGATTCCCCACTTCCCTTTGGAAGTGGTGGAGAAACTGCTACAGGGACTTCTTGTCAGAGACCTTTCTGTGACGTGTAGCCTGGAGGCCGCATGCAGACACAGAGCCGCCCGTCAACTGCGAGGCGTAGAAGACTGTTGGCTGCTCGGTAAACATCATTCCGGGCTCCTTTGGCTGTCTTGTAACCTCGTTTCTCAGCCCAGGCTGAAAAAACAGAGAAGAGGACGTAGTAGGGGGTTAGAGCCACAATGAACATCCAACTCAGCTGGAGAAGTTTCTTCAGCACCGTTACCTTCACATACATCCCAGGCACACCAAGGGGGTTCAGCCTTGCCGTGTTCGGCATCCGGATGCCGCAGCTTGAGCAAGGCCTGCACCGGAATCCAGCTAGCCAAGTACCCCACAGAAGTATAGGGCTCCTGGATCTGGGAAATAGGGTAGATACCAGCCAATATCTGAAAATTAAACAAAAAATGAAAAAAAAAGGATTTGTTGCTTGCCAGGGGTTGCTATTGGATTTACTCTGCAGGTGTTGGCAGGCTAAAAAAACTGGACGAAATGAGGGAGGTGGGGTTTTTTTTTTGACAAAAGACACAAATCTAGCTCAAAACATCATCTCCTGCAGCACAAGACTCATCTCTCAGCAACATTGAGTCATCTCGTATTATTTCCAACTACCACCCCTGAATTGCATAATAGAAGCTCAGAAACAAAGTCTCTCCTTCAGTCTGATTTTTCATTGTTTTAATTTAGCAGATGCTCCAATACAGGAGATTTGGGTTTGCGGTACTCTCATCAAAGGGCATCTGGTTGTCTCATCTTCTGCAGCCGTGAAACATTCCCTGCCCCGGCAGTGTAGCCTGGTGGGCAGAGAACTGATTTTTAACAAGCGAAGAGACGTTCTTCTGTAATCATCACAGAACATGACGTTTTTCTATTATAATTTCCCTGCACACCCCCTAGTCTGTCTCAATAGAAATATACTGAAGTAGCCTTACATAAGCCTTCATGAGCTGAAAGGGACGCTGATGGTTGCTCAAGCCTTGGTACTTGAGACCTTCCATCTGTCTTTTAAGCTTTTTCCAGTTGATTCACACATATATGTTCATCAGTCAGATCCAGAGGCATCAGCAATATAAGTGGGCTTTTTCAGATTTAATGTCCCCTCATTTATTTTTCCTTGGCTCTCAGTCAAGGAGTTAGAAAAGCAAGAGTCACTCTCTTTCTTAGCCTAATTCATCTCACAGGATTGTTGTGGGGAAAATCGGAGAAGGTGCACTGGATATGTTCACCACCTTAAGCTATTTGTAAAAATAATAAAGGCAGGATACAAATAATAATAATAATTGCCTTCAACTGCAATTTTCATCACAGCACTACACTAATATAGGAAATAAACAGATTTTCCAGTTAGCAGAGTAGGGCTAACTGGAAAGATGCTTCGAAGAAAGATGCTTCAAAGCTCATAAAAACACCGGCAAAGCAACCGTCTGCAATTATTTTATCTCAAATGTGCCTTTGAAGTATTGAAGATAGAGGGAAGCCCAAGAAAAGACATGGTGACTTTACATAGTTGCTGATACCTGATAGGATTGTACCTCTGCAAATGTCAAAGCATCTTTTTGGAATTAAATCTAACGTTACCTCAGCCAGATCGGAGATATACTGTGTTAACAATACTCCCTACCAGAATAGGCTGAGTGATCGTAATACCTGCATGTGAATAAGCCCTAGAGAAATCATTTAAAATTCTCACTATCTTGCATTTTGCACCATGAGTTGGAAGAAAATTCAGTTCAAGGTTAAGTTGGAGAAACTCTTTTCTGGAGACTAGAGAAGTCCTACTGCAGAGACACAGAATAATAGTCCAACTATTTACAGTATAAGAAAACTTTCTATGTTCAGTCCTTTATGCAGCTAGTCACAATCTTTTGAGCATGTATTCCCACAGCACTGGAGTTGGACAACACAGTTCACATTTATATTCAAGTAGCTGTACCCGGCCACACGTTGCTGTGGCTCAGTCTGGTAAAAGTGTGTGTTGCTTTTACGTCCAACAGATTGCGCTGTTTTTCAAAAAAAGCATGTTTTTACCTATCACAGGTGTGACATCTATATAATATAGGTATATAAAAACACGCGTGTATTCGAATGCAACGTTGTGTCAAAATTTCAAAGCAATCGGTGAAGAACTTTCGGAGATTTAAGATTTTGAACAAACAAACATTTACATTTTTATTTATATAGAAGATTACATCCCAAGGGCTATTCATGCTGGACAGGAAACCTTTACCGATTTGTTCCCTTTTCCAACTCTTACCTGCTGTTTCCTGTCAACAACAGACGGGAAGATGAGCCCTGGACAATCACACAACTTGACCGTGGGTGTAAGGAAGTAGGTCTGGAAATACTTGGTATGACCCGGAGTGCGGGAGACGCTCACCACTTTGCGGCCCACCAGTCCATTGATAAGGGAGGACTTGCCCACGTTGGGAAAGCCTGTAGGGAGGTGGAAAGGGAAGGGCAAAATCAAAATGGCTCTTCTCATCATCTCCACCATTAATCAAAGCTGTTGCCATGAAAGGTTTGCTTGGGGGACCCTCCAGTTTTTCCATGAAACCAAACATTGGGGCAGGTAGTCCACCTCAACTTCCTTGCTTATTTATTATAACAAATTGATATAGCAGGAATCAGCTTCCCTCTTTTTTTCAGTCTGCATGAGGCACGTTCCATCTATACCAATTAAGCCAGGGGTCTCCAAATTTGGCGATGTTAAGACTTGTGGACTTCAACTCCCAGAATTCCTCAGCCAGCCTTGCCTTAAAGTTGCCAAGTTCGGAGACTCCTGAACTAAACCATCGCCAAGTTATCTTTTCATCCATTCAAAACCTTAGCCAAGAACCAAGGCGAAACTACAGTGGCTATATTTAGCACCTCTAATCAGCAAGTTATAATGATGTACTGCATTCCAGATTTTTAGTTGTTATTAAAGAAAAGTTGGATTTAATGGGCTGTTCTGGGGAAGAAGTGCCCATTCATCCCAAACGTCCATTAAATATGAGACTATGACATTCAAATCAATCTGCATAATGGTGTCATGACACAAATTATGCAAAATAGTAATGTGTGTCATTCTGCTTGATTTGCGTCTGGAAGCCGTGACGTAAATCAATGTCATTTGCATCATGATATCATACTGCAAATTATGCAAAATGGGGCAAATAAGACATTTAGCATTTTTCTTTTGTGTATTTCCTGAGCATCTTGTCTGGACCACTTTAAGTGCAATGAACATGACTATTACAGCATTCTAGAGGTGGGGGAATGTCTAGACAGAAATTATGTCCGTCATAACTAAATAGGAGCCCATTAAATTGAGGTTTTGCTAGCCTCCTGTTTGATCTCACCTTTCCTTGTGAGGGGCTTAGGGTGGATATCCTCACAATCATTCTATGAAATTAATTTGGTCAAAGAGAAAAAGCTGGCTGCAACTTTCAGCCAAGAGATCCACGAACAAGGGAGAACCTGAACCCAAACCCCACCAAGAGGAACCCAACACTTTAGCCAGTTCCTTAGGCTGCCATCCGAAATTTGTTTACTTTAAAATAAGTCCTGTGAATTCAGTATGCATTAGAGCAGGGGTCTTCAAACTTGGCCCTTTTATGACTTGTGGACTTCAACACCCAGAATTCCTCAGCCAGGCACGCTAGCTGAAGAATTCTGGGAGTTGAAGTCCACAAGTCAGAAAAGGGCCAAGTTTGAAGACCCCTGCATTAGAGGGACTGTAGTTCTCAACTTACAACTGGCCGTTCAATGGCCATTTGAAGTTACAGCATACTTTATAAAAAAACTACTTATGACCCACCCTCAAGATGTAATGACAACCACTCCCACCCCGCATCATGTGATCACGTTCTGGGTACATGGCAACCAACTTGCACTTACAACCAGTTGCCCTGTTCTGCACCCACATGACCATGACTTGCAATGTTTTCTGGCAAGAAAACATAAAAACACCCACTGGATATGCTGGGTTTGTTTGATGACCAGATGGCTCACTTAACCACCATGCGATTCACTTAGCAACCATGCTAACTTGCTTTCTGACTATCATAAAAATAATCATACATTCAAGCCCGGTCACATGGTGCTTCAACGTACAGCCACAACAACACACAACTGAAATTCTGGGGCTCCATTTTGGCCCTAAGCAGAGGACTACCTCTGCTTCCAAATACATATGTACAGGATTGCCCTGTCAGTAATACACAGCTAGCTTTGTGTTTTATATGCAGGTCTGAACCTGACTTAGTCCACGTCCTTCTTCAGCACCTGGGTAGTAATCTCACCAAGCCTTGAAGGTAGTCCTGGAAATACTCTGCTCTCTCCAGGACAGTGTCCTGCTGAGTAGCTTTGAAGGCTAACTCACCTACGCAGCCGACTGTCAAGATTCCATCTTTGTAGAGTTCCTGGGAGATTCCACCACCCTCCATAGCTACATCTGTCTGATGCTCCACCAGCACGGTCGTACTTCGGTCATCTTCCTCCTCTTCCTCAGAGTCATCCAGCGGCAGGCCAGCGCCAGCAGCATCCCGCTCAATCTTCTCCTTCCAGCTACTCAAGTCCACTGTCAAAAAAGAGAGGGGAAATTACAACAATAGCAAAAATGACCAGCCACTTAAGTGTACTGGAGGTGAAAGTGCTGGATTAAAAACCAGGAGACAGTGAGTTCCAGGCCTGCCTTAGGCATGAAGCCAGCTAGTTGGCCATTGTCCTTGTCTGTCACCCCAAACCACCTCACAGGGGGGACCTGCTATGTGCAGTGCCTTGAATTATGCAAATACTGTGAAAAGGTGAGATAGAAATCTAGAAATAAATAAATGAGAGCCAGTTTGGTGTAGTAGTTAAGGTGCTGGCCTAGAAACCAGGAGACTGTGAGTTCTAGTGCTACCTTAGGCATGAAAGCCAGCTGGGCCAGTCACTCCCTCTCAGCCCAACTCACCTCACAAAGCTGTTGTTGTGGGGAAAATAGGAGGGGGAAGGCGTATTAGGTATGTTCACTGCCTCAAGTTGTTTATAAAACTTATAAAGGGGTAAAAAATAAACAAAATTAAAATGTGCAATTTGTTGCCCAATGTATGTGTCAAATTAAATGAAGAAAATTAGAATGCATGCTTGTTTGTTTGTTTATGTGACCTTGTGGAAACCATTTTACTCCAAATTTACTGACAGACTGGAGAACACTTCTGAATATATAAGCTAAGCCAGAGCTTATTCTTTAATCAACTGAACTAAAGTGGCTGGGTTTTAAGGAAAAGAAAATAGCTTATTTGCACCTTCAACTTCTGGTACTTTTCCTTGCTAGCCCCAAAGTAAACCATAATGTCTCTGATTTTTAGGAGCAATTACATCCCATGTCAAAACAGATCCAGCCAAAATGTAAGAGCAGTCACACCTTTGCCAGCTGTGATTGCCTCGCAGGAGCTCAGTAGCTGATTGGGCCCCATAGCCGTGCTCCAACCCTTTCGACGCTTCCGACGTTTTTTAAACACTGCAAGGAAGAAAAAAGGACAGAAGATTCCAGGTCAAGATTTGAAGCCAAAAGTTGGATAATATCCATGACACGTGAGGTAGTGAATGGGGGAGGAATCAAGGCCACAAACCACTCAAGAGTTCCTGGGAGTTGGGTAGCATATAAATGTAATAAATTATTACTGATAAGAATGATCTTGATATTGTTTACATTGTTGACTGCCCAGTTATTTTCAATGCTGGCCAGAACATAGAGAGGTCCAAAATATCTCAATAAATCCTGTTGCTTGTCCCCACATCAATGTTAACTTATTGACATTGGCAAGAAGTACCGTGTTTCCCCGAAAGTAAGGCCTACACCAACAATAAGCGCTAGCTTGATTTTTGGGGGTGAGCCTAATATAAGCCCTATCCCAAAAATAAGCCCTAGTTTTGGGGCGAGGCACACACCTAAAAAACAAACTAGAGTGGGGGGGGGGTGGAGCTGCCCCACGCGCTCTGCACCCACTTACCTTGCAGCCAGGCCTCTCCTTGCCAGCCCACTTCTTCTGAGGCCTCTTCTGCAGCCAGGCCTCCATTTCTCAGTCACAGGGCTTTCCGGGAGGCCTTTGCAGCCAAGAACCGAGCTATGGATTCAATCCGTAGCTCGGTTCTGTAAGACCTCAGCAGCCGAGCACCAAGCTATGAATTGAACACATAGCTCAGTACTCGGCTGCTTAGGCCTTCTGGAAAGGCCTGACTGCAAAATGCAGACCTGAATGCAGCTGCAGAACTTCGGCCCCAGAAGAAGTGGACCAGCTGGGTGGGGCTGTCAGTGCCGGAGGTGAGGTAAGGCCTACCCTGAAAATAAGACCTGGTGTCTCTTTTGGAGGCCAAAAAAAAAAAAGACCCGGTCTTATTTTTGGGGAAACACAGTAGCACTTCCCTGACACTGGTTGGTTAAGAAGAGAAATACCGGTAGCACTTAGACTTATGTATTGCTTCAGTGCTTTACAGTCCTCTGTGAGCGGTTTACAGAGTCAGCATATTGCCCCCAACAATCTGGGTCCTCATTTTATTGACCTCGGAAGGATGGGAGACTGAGTCAACCTTGAGCCGGTCAGGATCAAACTCCTGGCAGTGAGCAGGGAGTCAGCCTGCAATGCTGCATTCTAACCACTGCACCACCACGGCTCCTAAGAAGTCTCAGAATGTAGTTAAAGAAATATTCCAGAGGAAGTTGAAGGCAAACCACTTCCATATAAATATAATTGAGCCTGGAATTATGGTCATAAGTCGCAGCAATTGTAAAGGGAATCACCATGTGACTGTGTCTTAATTTTATGACCTTTTTTTGAGGCAGTTAAGCAAATACGGTAGTTGAGCAAACCCGCTGTGCTTAATGGGTGCTTTTTGCCAGAAACAGGAAGTAAATGCTAATTTCTGACCAAAAAAAGGTCCCAAATTGCAGTAACACGAGCATGGAATGCTACAAACAGCCATAAATGCAAGCCACTGCCAAGTGACCAAAATGCGATCATGTGACTGTGGGGGAGGAGAGGAATAGCGGTTGGAACTTTGAAATTGGGTCATAAGTAGCTCTAGGGAAGTCTGTTGTAACTTACAGCAGTCTCTAAGCAATCAAGTCATAAGTTGAGGACTACGTGTATTTTTGCCAAGAAGGCATCCTGAATGTTTCACTTCAACTTGAGAGAGTTCATTGTTTTTAGAGACCAATTAACAAGCACCTCAAATTTGGCCAAGGGATGAGGACTTTTTCTACATACCTTTGCCTACAATCTTTTTCTTATAAGAAAAAAAAGAAAACAAACCAACTGATAATTCTGCTATTTCTCTTATAGCCTACGGTGCCGTGCTAAGCCTGTGACAGCTCAACCAACACAGAACTACATTGAAACATGAACATCCATTGACAGACGTGAAAGTTTATGAATATATTTCACAAAATACCCGCACTGGGATCTTGGTCTTGCTGTGGATAAGAAGTGAAACAGATCACGTGGATCTCAGGGCACCGGCTCTTGAAATAATGCTTCCAGGCCACCACCAGGGCTGGTGGGGCTAAATCAATCTTGTTCAGTACTAAGATGAGGTTTTTCTTCATCTGCTTGGTGACAAACTCATAGAGAGCTGGAGAGAAGTTGATGACCTGAACGAGAAAGGTTTGAGAAAGAAAAAAAAATAGAATGGGGAAATTTAGAAAAATAAAACATCATCCTGTTTTCAATTTTCTAGGCCAGGCATGTCAAACTCGTGACATCACATGACGCCACGCGACATATTGTGACTTTTTCCCCATTGCCAGTTTCGGCATGACGCATCCGGACCGTGGGCCGGCAGTTTGACATGCCTGTTTTACGCATTGTGGAAAATTAGAATCCCATATGTTAACATGAACACAAATGTGGCTCGTATCTGTAGTTAGTAATTTAAATCTACGCTTCTCTAAAACAGTTTCCGTGCCTGGAAACAGTGATTTCCTTTTACCTTTTTTTATTTTTACAAATAACTCAAGGCAGTGAAATATCCAACATACTGTCATAGTTCCAACAGATGAAACTCTTCAAAAGAACTTCAAGGCATTGTTTACCTTAAAGAATCTTTTATTCGAGTAGCATAATATCGGCACTACATAAACGAAGCCAAAAACTGAATTCCCCTCCCCTGGGCACATAGTATCAAAGCACAATTCCTTTCTCCAGTCCGCCAATTCTTTATCAGCTCTGGGCTCAATAACCTTGATTCTCACACTGAGTTTACTGTTGTTATGTCTAGCTAGAGTCTCATTCACATCCCCCCCAGCATCAACTAACTATAAAAGCAAAAGGGAAAAAGATGGTTACATTTCCATCTGTTGTCAATGCAAAACATCCGATGTTAGCAGCGTTGACACATACCTTCCTTCTTCTATTTTCCCCACAACAACCCTGTGAGGTGGGCTGGGCTGAAAGAGAGTCATTGGCTCAAGATCACCAGTTGGCTTTCGTGGCAAAGATGGGACTTGAACACATGGCTCTCACTTTCTAGCCTGGTGCCTTAACCAATAGACCAATAGACTCAAGAAGACAAATGGTTAATGGCTCTCATCATTAACCATTTGTCTTCTTGAGTCTGACTGATGTTGCAATCCAGCAACATTTTTAAGGGAAAAGGTCAACTTCTCTGGTTTTAATTTCAATTAAGACAACCCACAACTCATTGGGTTATCAGGTCATCCTTTCAGAGATACTTCCTTACCAGATTCTTCAACGCCTTCAACAGTGGCAGAACTTCTAAAGTATTAGGAAAGTTCTTAAAAATTCAGGGCAGAGATTTGTATTCAAGGCAGAGATGTACCTGCCTTGAAAGTAGCTCTTGTTGAACTGTATAGCACAGCCAAACATCAGGAGCTGACTGCAGGAAATACTTTACGACACTTTGTGTGATATCATGAAATGCTTTATGATCACTTTTAATGTCATAAAATGATTAAATAGATGGCCACCACAAAATTGTACATTGTAAGTCAAGGACCACTTATATCACCCTTCTTGTGTTAAGGTCCAAAACTAATTTAATGTCATTACTGTAATAATTGCAGAACTGCTATCAAGACACATCTCATCCTTCTCTCACTTGACTTGTATTGCCTGATTTTCAGATGCATTCTTAGAGAAGAAGGAGCGCAAGGGGAGGTTGTGTACATTTCTCGATTCAGAATATTTGTAACCTCTTAGGACAGACATGTCAAACACAAGGCCCGGGGGCCAGATGCGGCCCGCGAAGTGGTTTCATGTGGCCTGCGAAGCCATCCTGGAAACAGTGAGGTAGACAGAATTTTTAAGGCTCATATTTTGAGAAGTGCTTTACTTCGAGTCTGGAAGAAATATTATTATGGATTAAATTATAAGATTCCGATTTGGACAAGTCCAGGACAGATGATAGAGGGGATATCTAGGGGAGTTAAATTGGACAAAGTTTCATATAAAGAATTACTTTTGCCCGTAGGACAAGGTTGGCAACT